AGAACATTCCAACTTTATCAAACCCTCCATACTGCCTCAATTCGAGGACGGTAGTTTGAAAAATCGTGCTCCTGCAAGTATGCAACCATTTTTAATTGCTTCTAAGCCACCAACGCAGAAGCGGTGTGTTCCTTAAATGTAGCGCTTGATGTCTAGTTTCTTTTGGCGTATAACATGTTTCATTTATATGGTTCAAATTTGGCATTTGGGAGGCTAATATTGAAGAAAAAGGTGAAAAAATCGCACAATCACACCACAACTGCCGAAATCAAGGCAGTGGACCTGATTTTTGACCAAAAATGATTGCATTTTCGAATTCCTCGTCGAAAATTAGCCCAAGAATGGTCTATTCAAAATTGAATCAAGACTTCAAATGATACTCATATTGATGCTGCAGATTTAAAGTCCAACCACATGCTAACAGCTTATTTCAGTATATTTGAACACTCGATCTCCCGAGTTATATTTGAAGTAATGGCAAGGTTCAAAAAGCATCTTAGATTGACCATTCTTAGGATAATTTTCGACGAAGAATTCGAAAATGCAATCGTTTGTGGCCAAAAATGAGGCCCACTGCCTTGATTTGGGCAGTTGTGGTGAGATTGTGCAATTTTTTCACCTTCTTCTTCAATAATAGCCTCCCTAATGCCAAATTTGAACCATATAAATGGAACATGTTATACGCCAAAAGAAACTAGACATCAAGCGCTAGATTTGAGGAACACATCGCACCAGTGCTAGTGCCTTAGAAGCAGTTAAAAATGGTTGCATACTTGGATGTATGGATGTATGGATTAGATTGGGGGTTTGCAAAAACCGTCGCGTAGGTCTATTGACCTTTTACGAACTTCCCACAAGGAATCTAAATAGATTAGATCCCTAAGGTGAAACTGTCATTTGGCATCCATTTGTGTTTTTTTGTTTGACTCAGTGATTCGATCCGGATGCATCAATACCATTCCGATCGTCACTACGTCTGTTGAGAGTTGACAGCGACGGGCCATTTTGCGTTCTAAGACTTATAAAGCGGCCCGACTGTCGGGCGAATTCAAAAATGTGTTGCAGTGGTGCAATCATGACTTCGCCAGGAGTGAGAACATCAAAACCATATAATCTTCTCCGTAGCTGGCCGAGACCAGGGCAGTTGCAAAGGAAGTGCAAAGCGCTTTCTTCGCCGTTGCCACAGAACTCACAGTCGGGATCGTCCCGTATCCCGAGTCTCTTCAGATAGGCGTTTAGCCTAATATGTCCTGTGAGAATGCCAACGATATAGCTCATCTTCAATTTATCTAGGTTGAGCAGTTGCTTTGTAATTTTTTCGTCCGGTGAAATGACAAAGCTGCGTGTATGTGAACAACTGTTAGATGTTCGCCATCTTTCAGCACTTTTTTTCCTGTAACCATTTCTCGCATGTAGCTCTACATCTCTTTTCATTTGAAAAGATGAATGGTTCGGGTCCTAAGGCAATTTCGGTGGCTCCCTTTTTTGCGAGTGCATCTGCAATGCCGTTTCCTTCTGAGGATGAATGGGCAGGAGTCCATTTTATAGTAATTTCTCTTGTACGTGCAATACTTTCGAGTATTTGTACACAGTCCATTACCAAATTTGATTCGATTTTAGGTCTGCTTAGGAGTTTCAGAGCTCCTAGGCTGTCAGTAAAAATTTGAATCGGTTCGCTGCTTCTGTCGTTTGCAATTTCTACACAACAGTTTAGAATTGCCGCCAGTTCAGCTTGTGTAATTTCGGTAAACTTGCCGAGATATCCACATAGACTGACACCAGTGTTGGCATTGTAGATGCCATAGCCGGAGCCAGATTTGTTCACTGACGCATCAGTGAACCACTTTACAGTGAGCGGATCACCACTTCCATTATTACCATAATCTGTTGATTCTTCTTGTATTTCTACTTTGAAGGATCTTGAGAAGATGTATTTTGGATGGCATCGATCCGCGGGTGCTCCTAGGAAAGGCTCATATTCAACGGGATCTTTCAAAATCGATGAGTGGTCCTTCCTCCAGGAATAAACATTTCTGTTTATGAGTTTTTGGAACCTATGTGCTGTTATACGAGCTTCAGCTTGTATTTGAAGTTCCAGAGGTGGAATGTTTAACAACGTTTCTAGAGCCAATTGTGGCGCTGACCTTGCCGCTCCCGTTATTGCCAAACATATCACCCTTTGTAAATGACTCATTAATTTTTGACCATTTACAGTGCATGTGCCGTTCCACCATATAAACGAAGCGTATGATAGGGTTGGTACGACAATTGCTTTGTGAAGCCAGAGTAGATTTTTGGGACTGAGGCCCCAATTCTTACCTATAGCTCTTTTACAACACCAGAAAATTTTGATACACTTCTTTATTCTGTGTTCTATATGTTCAGTCCAGTTTAGTTTAGAAGTGAACGTCACACCGAGGTATTTAACACTTGTGTTTGGTTCGAGTTCAATACCAAATAATTTCGGTGCTTTAAACGAAGAAAGATCTCTTTTCTGAGTGAAAATCATCATTTCAGTCTTACTTGCGTTTACTGAGAGGCCAATTTCTTTACACCATTGCTGCATACTTGCAGGAGCACGATTTTTCAAACTACCGACCTCGAATTGAGGCAGTATGGAGGGTTTGATAAAGTTGGAATGTTCT